GCCCCGCCCGCTCCCCTCCCTCCGCCGCCCCTCCTCACCCGGGGGTGCGCTCCCGCGGGCAGGGTCCTCCTTCTCCTTGGCACCCCGGGTTTGCTTCATCCCTCTGGCTGCCCGTGGTCCCAGAGGAGCCCAGGCACTGTCCGCCCAGCGCCGGCCTCCATCCGCTGCTCCATCCTCCGTCCGCCGGGCCTCGCCTCTGGAGCCGCCCCTGACCCAAGTGTGGAACCCTGCCTGGGGAGAAAGGGGGTCCACAGAAGCCGCATTCCCTGGGTTTGAGTCACTGCCCCGCGCCTGCAGGGCTCTGTGACCTTGAGCCAGGCATTAACCCTCTGAGCCTCAGTTTCCCCATCTGTACAGTTGGCGATCGTGGAGTTGGCCCCTGGCGCTAGTGGTTGGTTGGTGGCTGGACAGACAGAGTGCGGCGGTGCATCCGGGGAATCCGTGACAGTTCACTGCGGGGGACCCTGCCCCTCCCCCTCTCCCACACCAGACCCCAAGCCCTGCCGGGCAGCAGGCTGGCCTTCCTGCCCTACCCATCTCCCCAGGGCGGTGGACCCCTAGGCCAGGGCTGCCCCCACCCCCGTTAGGGTTCAGACCTCCCCTCCCACAATCCCCCAGTCCGCCTGGGACTATCTGGGGTCCCTTTTACAGAAACACAAGCATTTCTGGTATCAAGACACCTCTTGATGAGGCAGGTTGCGGGCGAGGGAAGGGGTGCCAGTTCCCACCTCACCCTCCCCCAAGCCCAAGAACAACTTCTGGGTGCCGCCTCTGCCTTGGGACCTTCCCAGGATCTGACTGTGTGACACAGCAAGAGGCCCTTCTGTGGGGGCTCAGCGTCCCTGTCTGCACAACAGGGAGGGTCAGGCTGGGGGCATCTTGCAGGCCCCACCACCTGCAGGGGTGCTAGGCCACAGGGATGACTAAGCATGCTTCGTGTTTGGCATCAAGAGGTATCTGACTGGTGGCTCTGCCACCCCAGCCCCTCAGGAAGCCAAGGCACCGCCAAGTTCAGCTAGTGCAGCCCCATGGGCCCAGGACGCCCCAGCCCTGGCCAGGCCCTGCCCTTTGAAGGAACCTTTACCCCTTCTTCCTGGGCATACTAGAGGGGAAAGGACAAGATTCCCCATCCCCCCTCTTGGCTTTCTTTGTCCCCGTGTTACCTTACCAGCCCCTGAGTTGAAGAACACCATGCAGGAGGGTGGACATATGATCTTTGTCATCAGGTTACCAGTGGGGACACTGAGGCAGGCCCAGAGCAGCTCAGTAACTCAGCCAGTCTCTGAGCAAGACATTGGGCCTTTCTCTTCTAGCTCAACACAGGGACCACTTGGCCTGGGGACTGCGTTTGTGTCTACTGGGTCCACAAGGGGTCTATGCCAGAATACCCCCAAAAAGTGACTCATGACTCTGCTCCCCACAGGAAGTGAGCTGCCCATCTGTGCAAGCTGCGGCCAGAGGATTTATGACGGCCAGTACCTCCAAGCCTTGAACTCCGACTGGCACTCAGACTGCTTCAGGTAGGCTGGGCTACCTGGGCAGAGGCCCAGGGACCTGGGTTCCCCACCTGGCGCTGTCCCTGCTTATTTATCCCTAGAGAGTCCCTGATGTCCAGCCCCCTGCTAGTGAAAGGTGCTCTGACCAATGGGTCCAGGGAGGACTTCCTATTTGGTTATTTGGACCTCTAATGGGCTGGGAAGGTGGCTCAGTGGTAAAGCGCTTGCCTTGCATGCATAAGGCCCTGGGTTCGATTCCTCAGCACCACATAAGCAAAAAAGAAAAAAGCCGGAAGTGGCGCTGTGGCTCAAGTGGTAGAGCGCTAGCCTTGAGCTGAAGAGCTGAGGCACAGCGCCCAGGCCCAGAGTTCAGGCCCCATGACTGGACCAAAAAAAAAAAAAGTAACAAATCCTTCTAGAGTTGCCTGCTGGTGGCTCACACCTGACACCTTAGCTACTCAGAGGGCTGAGATCTGAGGATCATGGTTCAAATCCAGCCCAGGCAAGGAAAGTCCCTGAGACTTTTATCTCCAGTTAACTAGCAAAAAGCCAGAAGTAGGGCTGTGGCTTAAGTGGTAGAGTGCTAGCCTTTAGTGAAAAAGCTAAGGGGTAGTACCAAGGCCCTGAGTTCAAGCCTTAGAAGTGGCTTTTTTTTTAAGCCCTTTTTTTATACAATGACAGTATGTTTGTATTTAATCTATGTGAGCTTCTAGTACATGACGTGGTAGGCAGGGGTTGTCTGTGTGCCTAAAGCTAGCCTTGAACTGCTGGGGCCTCCTGAGTAGCTGGGCTATACACCATACCACCATGTCCCACCTTCCCCAAATACTTTCTAGGTTATTTTTAATACCTACTACCATGTAAATACCCTGTGCTAGTTGTTATACAGAATTGTTAGGGGCTACAGCAAGAAAAGAATGTTCAGTTTGTTTTTCGTGAATCGTTTTGATCCGGGGCCGATGCACACCCATGGATGGGGTGAGCTGGGGTGATAGGAGTCCTCCTGGCAGCTAGGCAGGGGAGGGCTTTTCTGAGTGGCCGATGAAGGGGAGAGGAAGACAAAGCAGGCCTGGGAAGGAGATGAGCCATAGCCCCTGGGCCCCAGCTGGCTTTCCAGAATGATCAGCCCTGCCCTTCACCCCAAGATCAACATGGCAGGGGTAACGCTGAGACCCATACTATAGTACCATACATGGAGACCTATGTGGGCATCCTGAGAAGCCTGGTACAGGGTCGGGGGGGAGCAGCTATGGGACCAGAGCCCCCCTCCCTGTGCACACAGGCATGCACATACATGCATGCTCCCACAGTGGGAAGGGACCCCAGGCAGAGCTGCTGGAATCCGGTGAGTGTTGGGGACACACAGTACCCACCTTGGCTGTGAGGCTGGAAGAGAGGTAGGCCCCTTGTTCTGGAGTAAACTCAGGGACTCTGAAGGCCTTCAGGGAACACGGAGCACTCTTGACCGGGACACAGGCAGTGCAGACCGTGGGGAGAACAGGCAGGGCATTCTGGGTGGCAGCAGAGTGAAAGAAGGTTGCAGTGCAGTGGCAGAGTTGAGACAGGCTTGGGAAGGTAAGCAGACAGTGGAGGACATGTCACTGACCAGTGCCATTCCAGAGGGCCAAGGGACCCCTTGGCAGCAAAGGGACTGCTTGTCATTGAGGGGCTGCGCTCCTGGGCCTGGCATTCAGAGGGTCACTTGAGGTGGAGAAAGTGATCTAGAGAGAATGGCCTTTGGCAAGTGCAAGCTGAGCATCCCTAATCCAGAATGTCCCCCAGCCCAATATGATGCCACACATACAGCGGCCCATGCTCGAGCACTTTTGACAGACCACAGGCAGAACAGTCAGACACTAAATGCTTTGCACACAACTTCTTCCAGGAAGACAGGCACAGACACCCAATGCCTGTCTGTAATCCCAGCTACTCAAAAGGCTGAGATCTGGAGGACTGAGATTCAAGCCAGCCTGGACACCAAAGATCCCCTCCCATCTCCAAAATAACCAGCAAAGAGCTGAACTGGAAGTGTGGCTCACATGGTAGAGGACCAACTGAGCCAGTGCTGGGCCCTGTGTTGAAAACAAACAACAAAAAACAAACAAAAAAAAAAGCCTTCAGGCTATGTATGTTGTAAGGTGTATACAAAACATGAATTTCATATTTAAACATTGGCTTCTTTCCCAAGTGGTCTCATGAGTGTGCAAATCTAATAATCCTGGGATATTTGGGATCCAAAACAACTGTGGTCCCAACCATTTCAGACTAGGGATTCTCACCCAGTTTTTGCCATATGAGATGGCATTTATTACCATCTTTTAATGTATTTATCCAGTTCACATGAGCGAAATGAGGGCTTGGCCAAAGCAAGTGCATTGCTGAGGTGGTAACAGCTTGGGCTGGGGTTGAACTTATGTCTTGCTGTTTCTGCACACTGCAGCTTTGAAGGGGCAGGGCTGGGAGTGGTGCTGGTGACAGGTCTGGGGCCAGCGGGCTCTGGAGGGCTCTGGCCAGATGTCTGAGGCTCCGTTTCCCTCTGAAAGCATTTAATGGCAGGAGCCATTGGTGGCACTGAGTCCTTTGTCCCCCTCAAGCTGCTATGGCAGGTGGTAGAGGCAGTCCCTCTGCACACCCTTCCAGGTGGAACCTCCCCTCCTGGGTCCCGGAGGAGCAATGCCCAGATAGGCCAGCGGGTGCCTGGAGTCCCCCCATGCAGCCTGCTGTAAAGCCTGAACTCTACCACAGCTCCGCCTGCCCCTGACAGAAACTGTAGCCCACCTTCTAATGGGTGAGCCAAGGAAGAGACCAGGGCAGTGTGGGGCTGTGGAGACAGCGCTCTGGGGCCTGGTGAGCCTGCTAGTGGGGTCACCCCAGCTGTATGGATGTTTTGGGGGGAGCCTGTAGAAGGTGACCTGGCTGTGCATCTTTGGATGCAGGATCTGAGCCTTTGGGCCCCGCTTCATTGTCAGGCGCCTGCCCTCAAGGAAGCCCCAGGCTAAGGGGACAGGCAGCCTTATGGCTGGAGGGAGACTTAGTCAGGAGAGCAGCAGGAGGGCTGCTCCAGGCCCAACATGCCCCTGGCATTAACATAGGGTTTAATCACCACCCTGGGGCCTTTCTCTAGGTCTGACCAACCCTGTGGGCCCCCACCCAAAGCCTGGCCAGCTTGAGCATTCTAGGCTTCCCTTTCCCAGTGCGGCCTGTGAGGTCCCCTCCAAGAACCCTCCAGAGCCTCAGCCAAGGCATCCCCTGAGGCTGGGAGCACTGCCAGGGTGAAGAAGGCCTTGTGCCGCTGGCTGGTCATGGTCTGGGTCTGGTCCAACCTCCCCTTCTTCCAGTTCCAGAGTTCTTGCATGCAAAGATGAGCTGTCCGTGGAAGGCGACCTCTGTCCCTGGGGGAAGCACCGGAAGAGGCAGCTGCTTAGGAGCCTGTCCTTGTCCCCAGAGAGGCCTAACTGCTCAGTGCTTTTGTCCAGGCAGATGCTGAGGAACACAAATGGTAGCACTCTCCAGCGGTTCAGGAGGAAAGACAGAGTGGAAGAGTCAGAGCCCAAATCGCTCCCTCCCACACACACCTCCCTTCCTGGGGTCAGATCCTAGACCCCTCCCCCCCTGCTTCCCTGCCTAGAGTCAGAGCCTAGATCCCTTACCCCCACCCCCATACCTCCCTGCCTAGAGTCAGAACCTAAATCCCTTCCTCTGCACCACAGCATTGGAGCCGCTTCCTGCTTCAGGCTCACACCAAGCCCCTTGGCCTGGACCCTCCCCTGTGGCGTGGCCACACTGGCTCCACCCCATGTGCTCTCCAATCCTGGCCCCTGAAATAGGATGGGGAAGCTCTGAGTCTGCCACTCAGGCTCTCTACGGGCCTCCAGTCCAGTCCCTTGCCTCCAGTCCAGTCCCTTGCCGTAGCTGCTCAAGATGCTGCTGGCCCCGGCCCCAAGAAAAAACCGCTTCTTCCGAGGGGCTAGGTATGTGGAGTCCCCTCCTGCCTGACCCCAGCCCTGAGGGCCGGCTGGCAGAGGAGACAGGGGCAGACCACCTGGGACTTTCCAGGGCAGAACTGAAACTCATGGTCAGGTTGGCAGCCGTGGGCGCACAGGCCATTACTGAAACTTCTAGGCCTTGAGTGTGGCCTTCCCTTGAAGCAGATTTTCCCAGCTCTTTCTCCTCCCCTTGGGCTGGGGCCTAGGGGAGGGCTCCGGGAAGAAAGGACCTCACACCTGTCATTGGGTGCCTGCAGAGGGGCAGGTCCACAAGAGGGTCCTTCAGAGTCCGCCTCTGGATGGTTGAGGCTGGAGGGTGGGGTCTCCTTCCTGTGTGCCCTCTTCCAGCAAAGGTGTGTGAGGCCCTGCCAGGCCTGAAGCAGGACTCAGCCCACCTCGGGTGGAGACAGGTTATTCAGGCAGGCAGCCGAGGGTGCCGTGCAAACCACCAATGTTCTCTGGGGCCAGGCAGGCGCATGGCATAGGGGTCCTGAGAAAGGTTGGGGGGGCAAGGAAGGGCTGCAGGGAGGAGGGAGGACTGAGGGCACTCCAGATCCTGCTGGTCCTGCAGGAGTGAGCAGCAATGCTAGTGTGTGCAGCATGCGAAACAGAGAGTCCACCACAGCTAAGGATGCTCTCATGACCCAAGTGTGTGGTTGGTGGACAGGCACTGAGGGAACAGCTGGGGGCGGGGGCTCCCCAACCTCACTGTCTTGTGAGGTCCTTTTTCTATACCTTCCCCAAGTGTCTACCCTGGGATGTGGGCAGCTTGAAGCAGCACATTTGCCATCCTAAGGCCTGCTCTCTCACCCTGCCACCGCCACCTCTGTCGTCTCTCCCCCCCTGCCCTGCCCCAGGGAGAGCTCATCAGTGCTTGGTACATCAGAGCTCCTGGTGCTTGATACTCCCATCTCCACATCCTGGGTGCTTGGATTCCCACCTCTGCTTCCTGAGTGCTTAGTACTCCCACTTCTTCTTGGGTGCTTGGTACTCCCACCTTTGTTCCCTTGAACCTTGAGGGCTTGTGTTCCTCTGCCCCAGCAGACTCCCCAACAATGGGGAACCAGCTGGATTGCTTTAAAGAAACAGAGTCCTGAGCTGCCTTGCTGCCCTCCTCCCCCCAAGTTCTTTTGAGCCAATTAAGCATGCCTAGCCTGCAGCAGTGCAGTGGCTGTGTGGGGGTGGCCCAGAGCTTGTCCTCCAGAGCCTGGGTCTTCCTTTCCTGGTGACCCAGTGCTCCTGGCTCTGCAGCTCACGTTTATGCTCCGGTCCAGGCCTACCATGTACATGAAGACCTGGGGCACCCCCAGAAGCCAGTCCCCCACTTGCCTGGAGCGCTGGCTGCAGTCTTCCCAGCACCAGGCCTGTGTGGGAAGAGGCCAGGCAGGTAGCTGTAGGTCCTAGCGGCTGGGGCTGTGTTTCTCCCAAGCATCCCTGGAGGCCCTGGGGACTCTGGCCCCGGCACCCTGCACACCAGCTGCTTTCCTGTGGGAAGGGAAAAAAGGAGACAAGCTGGCAGACCACGCGGGTGCTGAGCATCCAGGAAGCAGCACACGCTGTGTGCTGGCTGGCTGCATCCTGGCTTCCCATCCATCCTGGTTAATACTGAGCCTCGTTCCTACTTTGCATCTTAGTGAAAAAAGGCAGGTTTTCACAGCTTGTAGCCACACATGGGGGACCCAGGACTGGGAAGCCATGTGGCTCACCCACCTTAGTGGCCCCCAGTGAACCTCAGGTGGCCTGGAGTTTCAGCAGGGGTGAAGAGGTGGTAGTAGGCATGGCATCTCCTAGTGCTGCCTGAACTGCTGGGGTGGGGGGCACAGATCCTAAGACGGGACCTCTAGTTTGTCCCATTCTCCTGCCTGGGGACCCAGCACAAGTCCTCACCCTATCCTCCTGGCCTGTGTGACCAAGGACAGGGGTCTCTGAGGCTGGTAGGTGGGCAGCTCCTTATTGTAGAACTGCTCTGGGTGGTATCCACTCTATATAGGGTATTACTGAGAAGCTAAATGGGTTTGGATCCATCTAAATGGGGTTCAGATCCTTCCCTGCCCGCTGCCAAGCCTTGTGCCCCAGCACAGGCTATCTGTGCCTGGGGGACACAGTAGCAGGCCAAGGGGAGGGCCAGGTCTGATGTGGGAGGGGGAGGGGGAGATAGGGAGGGCCAGGCCCGGTGTGTGTGTGGGGAGATGAGGGGGCAGGCCCAGTGGTGGGGGAGATGGGGGCAGGCTCAGTGTATATGAAGAGATGGGGATGGGGATGGGGGGAGGCCCAATGTGGGGAGGGGGCGTATGCCCATATGTGTGGGGAGATGAGGGGACAGCCCCAGTGTGTGTGGGGGGGTGATGAGAGGCAGACCCAGTGTGTATGTGGGGAGATGGGGGGAGGCCTGGTGTATGTGGGGGGGGGTGGAGGGAATGGGAGGGACATGCCCAGTGTTGGGGGGGGATGGGGGCAGGCCCAGTGGGGGGGAGGCAGAGCTGGAGCAGTGACGCCATCTCAGCCATCTCGCGGCTCTCTCCACCAGGTGCAGCGAGTGTGGCGCTGCGCTATCACACCAGTACTACGAAAAGGATGGGCGGCTCTTCTGCAAGAAGGACTACTGGGCCCGCTATGGCGAGTCGTGCCACGGCTGCTCAGAGCACATCACCAAGGGGCTGGTCATGGTGAGCCGCCCCTTCCACCGGCATGGGGGTGCGCATGTGCACCCACGGCGTCCAGCCCAGGGGGTCCCTTCCCACTGCCATGGGGATGTGCATGCCCACCCGTGGTGTCCAGTGACCAGCTCTGGGTGTCCTCATCCTCTCCCTTCTACCTTCGCCTCTTCTCTGCTTGCACACTATGTCCTCGTATTCACGTCCCTCTGTCCCCTGTCCATGCACCTGGCTCCGTACCATGTGCCAGGCAGCCACGGGAGAGACCCTGCAGGCTGAGGACATCACTGTCCCCTACCAGGTGGCCGGGGAGCTCAAGTACCACCCTGAGTGCTTCATCTGCCTCGCCTGCGGGGCTTTCATCGGGGATGGGGACACCTACACGCTGGTGGAGCACTCCAAGCTGTACTGGTGAGCACCCCACCCTGCCTCTCCCAGCCCTCCTGCCTGGCACAGGGGTGCTAGGGTGCTGGCCCCCACACCCAGCCTTGCATGCAGTGAAAGACAAATGTTGGATAGGACAGAGATGAGGCCCAGCAGACATGCCAGCTCCTTTCCTGCAGTGCCATCAGCACCGGCACAAACCCCACAAGCTAGGATGCCATCCCTAGCCAGACAGCCATGCTTCAGACCTCAGATCCCCATTTGGGCCCCAGGCCACTCACTTGCTCCTCTGGCCAGGCACAGGGACCCCACAACTCCATCCCTGTGATAATTTGTGACTAAGAGCACAGCTGGAGCTGCATGTGAAATCCTAGTTTATTATAAAGGACCCGTGTTCACCAACCAGAGCGCCTCACTTCACATTGGGGTTGCACGTGTCATGGGGATGTCCAGCCTCTCCTTCCTGCCCTGCGCGCCCTCCCCTGCCTTCCCCTGCCATTGCAGCCCCAGGGCTCATAAATAACTCATGCCCAGGACTTGCTCTCCCTAGGGCCTAGGAACAGAGACAGCCTGTCCACAGCAGGGGTGAAAAGTGGCCTAGCAGCAGAGCCTGTCCTGGAGAGTCCACCTGGAGGGCTCCTCATCCTGAAGGGAGTGTGGGGAAGGGGCTGCTGGGAGGTGGGGCTGAGCCTGTCCTCTCTCCCCCAGTGGACACTGCTACTATCAGACCGTGGTGACCCCTGTCATCGAGCACATCCTGCCCGACTCCCCTGGCTCCCACCTGCCCCACACGGTCACTCTGGTATCCATCCCCGCCTCTGCCCATGGCAAACGAGGCCTGTCCGTCTCCATCGACCCCCCTCATGGACCTCCAGGCTGCAGCTCAGAGCATTCCCGCACTGTTCGTGTGCAGGGGTGAGTGACGGCTGGCCAAGGCCGGGGTGGGGGGGGTAGAGGGAAGCAGGGAGGGTATAGTAAGTGGCCATGGCCACAGTTGCAGGTGTGTGGCAGGTCAGGATTGGGGACCTGAGGATGGGTGAAGCATGGCTTCAGAGGGGCCCAGCGGTGACATGTTGGGTCTCTGAGATACAACACTTGACGTGAACAGCTTAGGCAGGGAGAGAACTGGTTTTAGGTCACAGCTTCATGGGGTCAGGGTCTGCGGTAAGTGGACCAGCAGTGGGGCGTGGGAGAGCCGCTACTCAACTCATAGCGGGTGGCAAGAGACACCCAGTGCCCAGCCCACCCAGCTTTCTTGCTCACAGCTGGTGCTCTACCATGGGTGCCTGGCAAAAATACAGATTATTTAGACTGCAATCTTACAAAACAGCTTCTTGATTACAAAGGTCAAAATCCGTTATGGCAGAGAACATGAATCAGTCAGTCAGCACCCTACATGAAGGATATGCTGACTTCAGGCATCAACCTGTGCATTCACTGGCCGGCTTCCTGCCACTCCCAGCAGTGAAGGGTAGGAGCAGCTAAGTGCACTTGCTCATGTGCATGAACCCCTGTGGGTGCTCCTATCCCCACAGGAAGGAAAGGATAAGGCATATTGGTCCACGCCTGTAATCGCAGTGCTAAGGAGGCTGAGGCAGGAGGATCCAGTTTGAGGCTATTCTGAGCTACATATCAAGACCCTGCTTCCAAAAAGGAAAATTTCTGTAAATCATTGTTTTTTTTTGTTTTATTGTCGTTTTGTTGGTCATGGGACTTGAACTCAGGGCCTGGGCGCTGTCCCTGAGCTTTATTGCTCAAGGTTACCACTTTACCACTTTGAGCCACAGCACTACTTCCTGTTTTCTGGTGGGTCATTAGAGAGAAGAGTCATATATGCCGTGTGCTGGTGGCTCATGCATGTAATCCTAGCTACTCAGGAGACTAAGATCTGAGGATTGCTGTTCAAAGCCAGCCCAGGCAGGAAAGTCATGAGACTCATCTCCAATAAGCTCCAGAAAAAAGAAAGTGGCACTGTGGCTCAAAGTGTATACCAGCTTTGAGTATAAAGAGTTCAGGAACAGTGCCCAGGCCCCAAATGACAAAAAGAAAGAAAAAGAGTCTTACAGACTTTCCTGCCCTGGGCTGGCTTCAAACCACGATCCTCAATCTCAGCCTCCTGAGTAGCTAGGATGACAGGCGTGAGACACTGGCACTGGGCTCATTTTCTTTTTTCTTGAACTCTGTCTCCTCAGTGCCTTACCTCCAATCTGTTTCCCCTATCTCAAAGAACTAGGAGAAGAAAATTCCTTTAAAAGCCTTTAAAAGCTCAGTAGCTCACAAATGTAATTTCAGCTTCTCAGGAGACTGAGATTTGAGAAATGCAGTTTGAAGCTAGCCCAGATGAGAGATTCTTACTTCCAGTTAGCCATCACAAGGGCAGAAGTGGAGGTGTAGCTCAAGAAGTAGAGTGCCAGCGTTGAGCAAGGGAAATTAAAAATACTAAGGGAGAGCATGGTGCCCTAAGTTCAAACCCAGTATCACATTCACACACACACACACACACACACACACACACACACATATACACACACACTCACACTCATGTACACAGCCTGGTTTTTTTGTTTGCTTTTTTTATTTTTTGCCAGACCTCAGGCTTGAACTCAGGCTTGAGCACTGTTCCCAAGCTTTTTTTGCTCAAAGGCTAGCATCTACCATGTGAGACATAGCACCACTTCTGGCTTTTTCTGTTGATGTGGTACTGAAGAATTGAACCCAGGGCTTCATGCATGCTAGGCAAGCACTCTACTACTAAGCCACATTCTCAGTCCCTGGTTATGAATCTTGGTCTTCCTATCTCTGCTTGCTAAATAGCTGGGGTTATAGCTGTGCACAGCATTTATGAGAGCCTGGTGTGATCATGCATGCCTGTAATCCGAGCATTCAAGAGACAGGCAAAAGGATCACAAGTTGAGTACTATAGAGAGGCTTTGTCTCACAAAACAAAAACAAAAAACACAACCTATATGAGAATAAATGAAAGCCAGAAACCAGCTAACACCAAGCACCAAGCAGTTAAAAGAAGCACAAGAAGGGAATTTGGTACATCGGCTGTTCTGAGTTCGCTTATGACTTCCCAATCATGCCTATCCCCGGCCTGCCCCATGGCACAGAGCGGGCTGCTGGCTACTGCTGCTGGGTGAGTTGGGGTTGGGTGGGAAGCTGGTGGATCTGTACCCAGTTAAGACCCATCTTGTATTTGTCTGATCCCAGCATGGCAGACTGTGGAGGACAGCTTGGCCCTGCACAGTGGGAGTAACAGTCTATTAACTGGAGCCCCTGAACATCTCCATTATGTTTGCCTGCCCATGTCAGGCACCAATAATCAATTACAGAAATCATTAACCTCATAAGAGCTCAGCATTCTGAAGAATACTGAACCATACAAGATAGAATCATTTACTCCCTCATCCCCACAGCCTCCCCCACCCCCCAACCCCCCCACCCCATTTTGAGTTGCCAGAGGACCATCTGACCACTGCTCTGCCCACAGCGTGGACCCAGGCTGCATGAGCCCAGACGTGAAGAATTCCATCCATGTGGGAGACAGGATCCTGGAAATCAACGGCACACCCATAAGGAACGTGCCACTGGATGAGGTCGGCCAGAGTGGGTGGAGGCAGAGCCTAGGCCCTCCCCCATGGCCACCACTGGCTCACCTGTCCATACACCTGTCCCCCAGATTGACCTGCTGATCCAGGAAACCAGCCGCCTGCTCCAGCTGACTCTGGAACACGACCCTCATGACACACTGGGCCATGGGCCAGGGTCTGAACCCAGCCCCCTGGGCTCCCCATTGTACACCCCCAACCAGGAAGCTGGAGGTTCTGCCCGGCAGAAACCTGTGCTGTAAGTCCCCCTGTACCCTACTGCCCTTGTCCCTAGGCCTCAGGTTTCAGGGACTTGTACCCCACTGTCCCTTGTCCCTGGGCCTCAGAGGCCCAGGACCTGGCCTCCAGTCCCCCACCCCCCTAGCTAGTAAGGGCAGAAGCCCCCATGAAAGGGGTATTGCCACAGAATAGTGTGTTTTGTGAAGACTGTGTGGACCAGATGCCACATACCTGTAATTGACTCCAGCTAATGGAAGGGGGGAGGGGGAGGGGAAGGGGAGGAGATTCTGGTCCCAGGCTAGCCCCAGGCAAAAGCACAAGACTCTGGGGAGCAAACTAAAGTAAAACAGGCTGAGCCAGCTACTGGTGGCTCATACCTGTAATCCTAGCTACTCAGGAGTCTGAGAGCTGAGGATTGCAGTTCAAAGCCAGCCTAGGCAGGAAAGTCTGAGACTCATACCTCCAATAAACTACCCAGAAAAAGCCAGAAGTGGCTCTGTGGCTCAAGTGGTAGAGTTCTAACCTTGAACACAAAGAGGCTCAGGGATAATGCCCAGACTCTTGGGTTCAAGCCTCACAACATTTTAAAAAAGTGAGCTAGGAAGGTGGCTCAGTGGTAGAGCGCTTGCCTTGCATGCCTGAGGCCCTGGGCTCCATTTCTCTGCCCCACATAAGCAAAAAGAAAAAAGCCAGAAGTGACGCTGTGGCTCAAGTGGTAGAGCACTAGCCTTGAGCTGAAGAGCTGAGGGACAGAGCCCAGGCCCAGAGTTCAGGCCCCATGACAGGACCCCAGAAAAAAAAAAAAAGTAAACATGTGTGGCAGGTGGTGAAGTGCTTGTGTGGAAAGGGTGAGGCCCTGAGTTCAATCCCTGTTACTGACCCCGAAAAAAACCTTTTTCTGAAGCCAGCATCTGAGGATCATGGTTTGAATCAACCCAGGCAGGAAAGCCCTTGAGACTCTTATCTCCAATTAACTAGCAAAAATCGAGAGTTGGAGTTGTGGCTCAAGTGATAGTGTGCTGTCCTTGGGCAAAAAAGCTCAGAGACAGCACCCAAGACTTAGGTTTAAGTCCCAGGAGAGGGTGTGTGTGTGTGTGTCTGTGTGTGTGTCTGTGTCTCTGTGTCTCTGTGTCTGTGTGTGTGTATTCTGCTCTCCTTCATAATAGAGACAGAATACCAGAGCCAGTGAGTCGACTGCTTCTGGGGTCCAGGTCCATATCTTTGAACAGAGATGGGATTCGGGGCTAGAGGAAAAAGCCCAGAGCCACTGGGCATCTTAACAAGTCTCTGCCCCTGTCCCCCAGAACCTGGAAGAGAGGTCCTCCAGCCTTGGGTGGGGGACAGGGAAGTCAGAGGCTACATCCCCACACTGGCACACTAATAGCCCAGTCAGGACAACAGAAGTGAAGGGAGCTGGATGCTGGCTCCAGAATGCAAATGGGGCCAGGGTCTAGGGCATCCTTGAATTGGGATGGCATAGAAGGGTGCAGAAGAGGGACTAGGTGTCATGTCCCCATGGCACTGGGCACCCATGTCTTCCAGGAGAAGCTGCAGCATCGACACATCCCCGGGTGCGGGCTCTCTGGCTTCGCCGGCCTCCCAGCGCAAGGACCTGGGTCGCTCAGAGTCCCTCCGTGTGGTCTGCCGGCCGCACCGCATCTTCCGGCCCTCCGACCTCATCCATGGTGAGGTGCTGGGCAAGGGCTGCTTCGGCCAGGCCATCAAGGTATGGTGTGAGGATGGGCTGGTGGAGACCTCTTCCTCTCCCTATACCCAGCCTGGCATCCAGGCTCCTCTTCTCTGGTGTTGGGGTATGGCCTTGATCCTCTGGTGTTGGGGTCTGGCGGCAAGGGTCAGGATTATACAAAAGTGCTTCAGAGATGCTGGGGACTGGGTGAGGAGCCCATGGGCCCATGAGCCGCCATTCATTCTCCAGGAGAGCCAGGAGCTGACCCGGCCCAGCCAGGCCGGTCCCAGACCTCTGGCCAGCCAGGAAACTGCAGGGCCTTGGTTTCCTCCCCTGTAAAGGGAGGGTGCTCCCTACGCCCAGTATCCCATTGTCCTTGGGACATCTGTAGGCCCCTGGCTGTCCCTGCATTGTACCTCGGTTCCCCTGTGCACACAGGTGACTCACCGGGAGACAGGGGAGGTGATGGTGATGAAGGAGCTGATCCGCTTTGATGAGGAGACGCAGAGGACGTTCCTCAAGGAGGTGGGTGAGGTCGGCCTTCCTGGGGACCTTGCCCACTAAGGGGGCCAGGGCTCTGGGGTGCAGTGACACTCCTGGCATCGACACGCCTCTGGAAGCGAGAGGGCAATGGAGGGACTGGGGCTCGCAGCCCTGCTCCTTAAGACTGGCTGGCTCTGGCTGGAGGAGAAGGGGAGTGAGCCTAGACTGTGTGTACCCCACCAGGTGAAGGTCATGCGGTGCCTGGAGCACCCCAACGTTCTCAAGTTCATTGGGGTGCTGTACAAGGACAAAAGGCTGAACTTCATCACCGAGTATATCAAAGGGGGCACCCTGCGGAGCATCATCAAGAGCATGGTGAGCGCTGGCCCCGCCCACTGCCATGGCCCTGCCCACAATCGTGGCTCCACCCTCAGGACTGGCCTGCCCACAATTGTGGCACCACCCTTGGCTGTTTTTATAAAGTGAGCTTAGGCCTGGGAAGTAACTCAGTGGTAGAGCACTTTCCTGGGGAGTTCCAGTCCAGCACCACCAAAAAAAAATTTTTTTGTAAGTTTACATGAACAACTTGCAAGATTTCAAAGTTGTCCACAGGCTAGGTGTAGTAAAGCACACTAGTAATCTCAACACTCCAGAGGCTGTGGTGGATGGAAGAATTGAGGCCCCAAGCTGAGGGGACCTGTGGGTAAGGCAGGAGCTAGTTCTGGAGTTTGAACTTAGAACCTTAAGCTTACTTTACATACCTGCTCACACTTGAACCACACCTCCAGTGTGGTATTTTGCTAGCTAATTGGAGATTGAGTGTTGTGGACTTTTTTGCCTGGGCTGGCTTCAAACTATGATTCCTTAGATCTCAGCCTCCGGAATAGCTAGGATCCCAGACCTGAGCCATAAACACCAAGCTCATTTTGTCTTCATTTCTTCGATAAAACAGAACATGCTGACATTTCAATATGTAAATATAATTCCTATACAGCCACAGTAAAACACACATAACCTTGCCAGGCACCAGTGGCTCACGCCTGTAATCCTAGCTACTCAGGAGGCTGAGATCTGAGGCTCACAGTTCAAAGCCAACCTGAGCAGGAAAATCCATGAAACTCTTATCTCCAATTAACCAGCAAAAAGCCAGAAGTAGAGTTGTGCCCCAGCTGGTAGAGTGCTACCCTTGAGCAACGAAGTTCAGCAACAGCACCCAGGCCCTGAGTTCAAGCCTCAGGACTGGCCAAAAAAAAAAAAAACAGCAGAGACAAAAAAGTCCATGAGTCTCTAATCTCCATTTTACCAACAAAATGCCAAAAAAGATATTTGATTGGTCTACACACCTTAAAAGGTGTATACAAGAGGGAGCCGGCTACCTTCTGCCCCTCTCAAACACTGGGATCCTGTGACTGTCACCTCTGTGTCCCCACCTTGGCTCTGCTGGCTCCATCCTAGCCATTGTCCTTCATCCCCAGGACAGCCAGTATCCGTGGAGCCAGAGGGTGAGCTTTGCCAAGGACATCGCTGCAGGAATGGTGAGTGGCAGGTAGCCTGCTGCCCCTGTGAAGATAGCCCCGCCTCTCGCTGCAGGGAGTATGCTTCAGCAGGGACTGAGGCTGGGGGGTGGAGGGTGGGAGACAGGAAGAGGCGGGAGAAGAGGAGCCAGCAGCTGCCTCCTGATCCTCCTCCTCATACCGCCTAGGCCTACCTCCACTCCATGAACATTATCCACCGGGACCTCAACTCGCACAACTGCCTCGTTCGAGAGGTAAGCAGGGGCCCTGCACTGGGGGCACAGAATCCACCATGCTCCCAGCCTGCCTTCCTGGAGGCCCCCTGGCTGCCTCCCTAGCTCATCACATTGCAGACAGCTTGAGTACCTTTGTCAGAGTGGCTTCCCTGGGGGGCGGGAGGGGGGTGCTGCTGCTCAGGAAGGCCCTTGCTGTGAAGGGAGGGAAGCCCTCACCTTCAGAAGTCCCCAAGCTGAGGGGAGCCGTGGATAAGGCAGAAGCTCAGCAAGCCTTTCAGGAGTCTGCTTAGCCTCCATACTACAGCCTCGATGACCCCAAGATCAGAGCCGCAAACCCTCCTGTCCTCCAGTGTGTCTGGACTGAGTTGTGTTTTTGTTTTTGTTTTGTTGTTGTTGTTTGTCGATTTGGGGGCTTGAACTTTGGGCCTGGGCACTTTCCCTGAGCTCTTTAGCTCAAGGCTAGTGCTTGACCACTTGAGCCACAGCACCATTTCCAGTTTTCTGGTGGTTAATTCTAGATGATTCTCACAGACTTCCTGCCAGGGCTGGCACAGAACTGCGATCCTTAGATCTTAGCCTCCTGAGTAGCTAGGATTACAGGTGTGAGCCACAGGCACCCAGCCTGGACTATGCTTTTGCTCCAGAATGCATGTTTACAATATACAAGGTCCTGGGGTCCAACCCCAGCACCTTTTGTCCTCACTGTGGAGGCTCTGAGAACCCCACTGCATCCCTCACTGTCAGGGGCTTCAGACCCATGTATCACAAACAGAAGAGACTCTTTACAGTACAGATCCTCAAGTCCAGGTCAAGCCCTCTGAGGGACAGGACAGGAGCCAGCCCCCGACCTGTCCTGGTGGCATAGGCCATTAACAACCATTGCCCAGTGGGGATATGGTCTGAGGACCCTGTGTCAAGGCTTCCTGGCTTGGAACCAAGTACACTGGCACACCCCTGTAATTCTAGCTAGTGGGGAGTTGGAGATAGGAGAATGGTTGGTTGAGGCCGGCCTGGGACATGGGTGTGGGGTCACACTGGCAGCCAGTTCAGGAGCTTCAAACAGCTTGTTTGCAAAAAGCAGGGGAGTAGGGGTGGGTGGAATCCACTACCCTTCAGAGGTCACTGGATGTCAGAGGTGTATTGGGGTGCGGGGGGTTGAAGGGGGGTGCCAGTGAGGAGCAGGCTAGGCAGGACCTGCTCCAGCAGGACCCTGCACCCTTAATTTCGCAGAACAAGAACGTGGTGGTGGCCGACTTCGGGCTGGCTCGCCTCATGGTCGATGAGAAACCACAGCCTGAAGACCTGCGCAGCCTCAAGAAGCCAGATCGCAAAAAGCGCTACACGGTGGTGGGCAACCCATACTGGATGGCACCAGAGATGATCAATGGTAAGCTGGCCCTACCCCCTCCAGGCCCCGCCTATGCCAGAGACCCCACCCATGAAGGCACCTTGCCCCACCATAGCTCTTCCTGGCCCCGCCTCCACCAGCTCTCCACCCCTCCGCTCAGATCCACCCCACTCCCCAGCCCCTGCCATTCCACTTTGGTCCTGTATTTGTTATGCTGCAGCTGTAAGACATTTCCACATACTTGGAGGCGTCTATAACAAACTATTGTGCGGTCCTGGAGGTCTGAAGTCCAGCCTCGGGCTGGGAAGGTAGCTCTGTGGTAGAGCATTTGCCTAGCATGCCTGAAGCCCTGGGTTCCATTCCTCATCACCACATACACAGAAAAGGCCAGAAGTGGCACTGTGGCTCAAGTGGTAGAGCATTAGCCTTGAGCAAAAGAAGCTCAAGGATAGCACCCAGACCCTGAGTTCAAGCCTAGGACTGGCACAACAATAACAACAACAAAAATAAAGCCCAGCCGGGCTCAGATGGCTTGCCTGTAAATCCTAGCTACTCAGGAGGCTGAGATCTGAGGATATGGTTCAAAGCCAGCGGGGGCAGGAAAGTCCATGAGACTCTTATCTTCAATTAACCACCAGAAAACTGGAAGTAGCTCTGTGGCTCAAGTCATAGAATGCTCGCCTTTAACTGAAGAACTCAGGGACGGCACCCACGCCTAGAGTTCAAGCCCCACAACCAACAACAACAACAAAAAATAGTCCAGCCCCAGTCTCCCCAAGCTGAAATCACAGGTCAGCCGCCTAGTCCTGCAGGCTCTTAGGTCCAGGCAAATCTTCCCAGTTTTTTTCTGGCTTCCATACAGCTTCTCATTCCTTGGCTCTCAGACCCTGTTTCCATCCTTTTTATTTTTGAGATAGGGTCTTAACTACATAGCCAAAACTGGCCTCCAGCTTGCTGTCCTGCCTCAGCTGCCCCGTGCTGGTGTTACCAGTGTACACCCCCACACCTCCATACACACCCCATTTCCTTGCCTGAGTAGCTAGAATTACAGGCATACACCGCCTTCCCCCAGTGACCCTGAGCCCTGTGAATAATCCAGGATGACCTCCCCCAGTTCTCTTGGTCCTTTGTAGGCTCCTTGACAAGCAGGTGACACACAAAACATCAGTTCAGAGCAGGCAGATGGGTCGGCCAGCACAGTGCTGGGAGTAGAGTTTGTGTGGTCCCTAGCTAGCCTGCCCTGTGCAGTGTTGACAGCCCTGCTCTGGGGGCCCTAAAATCCTGGCCTACTGGTTGCTATTCAGCTCACCACCATGGCAGTCCTCCTTGGTTTTATTGTGGTTTGGGAGGATGCATTAGTTGTACAAGGGGGAGTCTCCTTGTGACATTCCACAGGGCATACAGTGTACCCCCTTACCTCACCTCTCCATCCCTTTCCCTCACTCCACTCCTCCTTACAGTTGTAATAGGCTTCATTGCTCTACTTTCTTTTTTTTTTCTTTTTTGGCCAGTCCTAGGACTTGAACTCAGGGCCTACGCCCTGTCCCTGAGCTTCTTTTGCTTAAGGCTAGTACTCTACCACTTGAGCCACAGTGCCATTTCTGGCTTTTTCTGTTTATGTGATACTGAGGAATGGAACCCAGGGCTTCAGGCATGCTAGGCAAGCACTTTCCCACTAACCACATTCCCAGCCCCTGCTCCACTTTCATATATGTGTATAAAGTAAGAGTCTAACGGACTTTCCTGCCCAGGCTGGCTTTGAACCGTGGTCCTCAGATTTTGGCCTCCTGAGTAGCTAGAATTACAGCTCCGAACTTTTTCACTTATTTATTTATTTATATTATTTATTCATTTTTTTGCGATGCTGGAGATCAAATTGCATAAGCTTAGCTTGTGCCTCTCCCTGAGCATCACCCCACTCTAAAACTCCCCCAATGGAATCATTCCAAGTTTTGGCCTGATGCTTTTGGACACACAAAGTCCATGATTTACCCGGAATACTGGGTTGTGAACCCACAACTGTGGCCTTGCTAAGCAGACACTCTACCCCTTGTGCCACACCTCCACCCCTTTTTGCTTCTGCTGTTTTTCAGATTGGGCTTCACACTTTTGCCTGGGGTTAGCATGGGACCTCATTCCTCCTACCTACACGATTTGAGTAATTGGGATCACAAACACAAACCACCACACTGGTCTTATGTTTTGTTTTTGTTTTTTTATTTGTTTGTTTGTTTTGGGGGGGTCTGGTCGTGGGGCCTGAACTCTGGGCCTGGGCACTGTCCCTCAGCTCTTCAGCTCAAGGCTAGCGCTCTAGCACCTCCAGCTTTTTTCTTTTTGCTTATGTGGTGCTGAGGAATCGAACCCAGGACCTCAGGCATGCAAGGCAAGCGCTCTACCACTGAGCCACCTTCCCAGCCCCTGGTCTTACGTTTTGAAATGAGGTCTCATGAACTTTTTTGCCTAGGCTGGCCTCCCTACTTCCCAAGTGCTAGAATTTTGGCACAGGCCACCATAGCCAACTTGCCTGGACCTTCTAGTCCTCAGGGTTCCTAGGACCTGGCAAGGTTGGGGGTCATGTCTAGCAGTGCCCTCTTCCCACCTGGCTTTTGCCATCTTTGTCCTCACTGACCCCAGGTCTCTCTGTGCAGGCCGCAGCTATGATGAGAAGGTGGACGTGTTTTCCTTTGGAATTGTCCTGTGTGAGGTAGGAGTGAAGGTTGGCGGCACGGGCCTGGGCAACATCTATACTCCCCAGCCCCAGCCTGCGTGACCTGCCCTTGAGCCCCCAAACTCCCAGTCAGAGAGCCCCAGGTTAACTCGTGGCCTCATGCGGAACAGATCATCGGACGGGTGAACGCAGACCCTGACTACCTGCCACGCACCATGGACTTTGGCCTCAACGTGCGGGGCTTTCTGGACCGTTACTGTCCCCCCAGCTGTCCCCCCAGCTTCTTCCCCATTGCTGTGCACTGCTGCGACCTGGATCCTGAGAAGAGGTGAGTGGGGGACTGTGAGTGGTTGGGCCACTCCCCAGCAGAGCCAGCCAGCCCACGCCCCCCCATCCCCTGGTGTCTCCCATCCCCAGGCCCTCCTTCATGAAGCTGCAGCAGTGGCTGGAGTCGCTCCGCATGCACGTGGCCGGCCACCTGCCACTGGGCCCACAGCTGGAGCAGCTGGAGAGGGGCTTCTGGGAGACGTACCGGCGAGGCGAGAGCGGCCTGCCCGCCCACCCCGAGGTCCCCGACTGAGCCCAGCCAGACGCCGCCCCAACCCCACCCCAGCACCCACCCACACCAGACTCCCTTCCACTCCGTCGCCAGGCACAGGGCAGCAGCACTCAACCTGTCTCCAGAGCCAAGCCTGGCACAGCAGCGCCCCCTGCAGACCGTGCCCCTGCCCTCTCTGCCCAGGCCCCAGGGCTGTGCACACCCCACCTTGCCCTACCTTACCTCTGCCTCGGTGGGGCCAGCCCTCACTCACTTCTCCTTGCATGAGCTGGGCGCCCAGGGAGTTGTGCCACACACACACATCTGCCCGCTGTGCCTCTGAGCCCAGCTGGGCTGAGAGGGGCCAGGCAGTGTGCCCAGCACCACAGGGGCTGTCCCAGGACCTGATGCTCCCCCACACACACCCCTGGGGTGTCAGTGTAGAAGCAGATCACCATAAAACCCAAATCTCAGAGAGAGAGAGAGAAAGGCCCTGGTGCAGGCCTGGCTGCGGCCCCTCCCCCTGCTTTGGGCCTTTTTTTTTTTTCCTTTAAATCAAAGCCACTTTAGTAAGAAGGTACCAGGCCTCAGGGTGAAGAGGGTCCCTGAGGAGGAGGGAAGCCAGGGGGGCCATGGCTGAGGTTCCTCTCCCATCCCATCCTGTTCACCAAAGCTGCAGCCGCCCCGCCCCTCCCCTGGCATCCCCCGTCCTCTGGGTTCTTTCTGTGTAATCTATTTTTTAAGGAGAGTTTGTATTATTTTTTCATAAGGCTGGAGCAGCAGCTGCTGGGGGCTTGGGGTTTTCTTTCCTTGGCGGGTGGGGGTGGGAGGGCCATTTTGTCACCTTGCCTCAGTTCAGATCGGGGACATTAAAACTGTGAAGCTCTCTCAGTGCACTTTGAACTTGGAAAAGAATCTGAGCAGGCCAAGGGGGGCGGGACATGCTCCCCCGGCCCAGAAACCGTGCAGGCACTCGGAACAATAAAGTCTGTGCCCCCCAGGCCTTCCTTGTGTGTGTCTGGGGAGAAGTTCATAAGCAGGGTGGGGTCATCTGACAAAGCCTAGTCAGATGGGGCAGAAGTGGGGGCCCAGACAGGACACAAGAAGATATCAGAAGCCGAAATGGACTGAGCATGATGTCACACACCCGTAATCCCAGCACTGAAGAGGCTGAAGCTAGAGAAGCTCAAGTTTGAGGTCTCCTGGGATACATTAACCAGACCCTGTCTCTCTCTTTTTTTGGGGGGGG